CTTAAACTCTCCTTGCATCTTGAGCTCTGCTTCACATAAGGCTTCCAAACTTCTCCTGCAACCTGCCCTATCCCTCGCACACTTCATTTTTCCATTTGCTATCTTGAAAGGTGTGCCTGGTTTCCATAATGATACTCTTTTTATGAGGATGGGGCCGAATAACTGTTCGCTTGATCGAACTGCGGTCGTTTTGCCCGATGGCGTTCGCCAGGACATTAGTCGATTTGCGTGATGACATACAACACTCTACAACATGGTGAACATACCATTGGAGATGTTATTTTAGTTAGCCTTGGATTTCACATGTGCAGTCTCTGACCTTCCATGCTTATTCCCTTTTTCAGTTTTAAGGAAGGACAAGTACGCTTCGGGCGAATCGACTTAGTCTAGGCGAACTGCTATTGGGCAAACCGACCTGATACCGCTCATTCCCCAGCCTGGTGGGTCAGGCATGGCAATTCGTCTGCTCTTTCAGCAGAAACTTATTCGGCACGGTTGAACCCAACCGGGACTGACCAGAGGTCTCAGGTGGTATAGTTTCCGAGAGGAACGCAAACCTGCCCACCAGTTTGAGACACAACGGTTTGGGAGGCGACTTAGGGCCTGTTTACATTAAGACGGCGGACCCCAGTTAGGTGAGATAACTCGCTTTGGTGTGGGGGTAACCCAGGGCTCAAAGTTTAAATTTGAGTTTGGGAGCACTTGTGCTACCAGATGTAAATTTTTAGGCGCACTGCCAAAATTTTAGGCGCACAGCTAAAAAGTTTAGGAGCATAGCTTACAATAGCCTACGAGTAGTCCCTCATTTTTCCTCAGGTATAGTAGAGCGAGCGAAAGGCGAGCGTGCGTGAAACTCCCCCCACGCGAGAAAAGGCGACACGCGGCGTGTCGCCTTTTCTCGCGTGGGGGGAGCTTCACGCGCGCTCACATTTCACTCGCTCCACTATTCCTGAGGAAAAATGGGGGACTACTCGTAGTCTAAGCTTACAATATTGGGAGCATTTACTAAAAGAAGAAGTAAAAAGTTTAACAGTGCCACGTTCATAACTATCTTCACGTTTTGCTGGCGAAATCCGAGAAACTTGTTGGTAGGCGAAGATGGCTGTCTCTCATATTTTTGAATTTTGGAAGTCTTTGCTGATGTATTTTTCACAAGGCATCTTAAGAAGAACGCGCCAAAGTTGTTTTTATGAGTAACGCATTTAAGTCACGTTTTTGCTCATGTACAATTTGTTTAATACTTCGGCACAACTAATGTGCAGAATTTTTCGCTATTTCTGTATAACTGAATTTTTTTCAGAATGGTGACCTTTAAGAAAAAGGAAAATTAACAGTTTACAGATGTTCTGCGACAAATGTTCTAACTTGTGGTCTTCAATTTAATATTCCCAGTTAAATGTACGGTCTTTAGTGAGCGTGAGCCACAATTTTTCCAGCTCGGACCCTGGTAAAATTGAGACAGATATTTTTACCATTTTTCTTTTAGCTTGGGTGGCCAGAAGCTCAATTCCAAAAATGCTATAAGGTTCTTCGTTCATCCTAATTTCCTTCGGTTATTGAAGAGTCGAAAAACTGATGAAGACGTGAAGTATGCGGTCGAAACTTCACGATCAATATGTACATGACAATCGCGAGACAAACGATTGACGAAACGCTTTAAATTCATAACTCATTTTCCTGAGATTTCCTTGATATTGCCAAGTAGCCGTCGTTTCTGTAGTCCATAATGTGATCCCACCTTTTTGCTCGGACGCGCTCGACGTTCCTGCTCTTGACGTTCGGCATGCTCATTCTAGCGCAAGGAGCACGTATTTCGTTGGTAGCATATTTGCATGTGTCAGCGGTGTTTATTACCAAACAGAAGAGTCTGTGATGAACGTTCGAAGCTCGTGGAATCCATTGCGAGAAAATACTAATTTAAAACTTACACAGATGAAATGTAGCTTTATTATTTAGAGCCTGGTTGTGGTATTTCTACATTACTTTTACTGTCATCGCTTGGAGCTACTGTATGTAAGTATGGTCGCTAATAAGTCAGTCGTACTGTGCTTTGAGTTTTATGGCGCACAGGTGCGATTGCACATGATTTTTTAGGTGCACAACAAAGACTTCAGTCGCATAAGCGGCCAGCTAATCGTTAACTTTGAGCCCTGTAACCCACCTGTTCATATATTCTCTCATTTTAATGTAATCATGTTAACATGATAGGTGAGGTTACCTCACCTATCTGGGGTCCCCCTCCTTCATGTAAACAGGCCCTAAATGGTGTTTGAAATTGTGCAGTGAGTTTTTTAAAACGTAAATGTAGCTATTGGGTGCAAATATACTTCTTGTCTTTTTTTATTTTTCATTACTTCAAAGCAATAATTCTTAGATCTATCATATACAGTTTACATTCTCGCATAGCTAACCTGAAGTCAACAAATATAATCATATGGATACAAACAAAATGCATACTATTATAATATCATTTACAATTCGAGGGTGAGGGTGGTATCCTCACAAGAAAAAAATTAATTTCCCGCCCCTTTTGATCAATTTTCACATGTCCAGTTGCATACATGGCCTTTTCCTAACCAAACGTGTTTTGCTAGATGGACTAAGGGAAAAAAAGAAGAAAACAACAACAACAACAGCAACAAAAAGAAACTGAGATTGCTCCCACCATAAAACTTATCTGTGCTAACATCTTTTCCTGTCAATGAAATACAATATATCGAGAAAACAGAGCGGAAAGAAAATTTTCTTATTTTTCTTGATTTGAACTTGAATCGGGCTCGAACATGATTATTTATTTACATTACATTTAACACTTTACATGTAGCTCTTAGGTATCTGCTTCTCACATTTAGCATAACTGAACACTGCATAAATCTTCTTCAAGTATTCTTGCTGCCTAGGCCTATCATAGCTCTTCCCTCTTCCCGAGCCTTCTGCATGTTTTCCAAAAGATCTTTTATTCTCGAATTCAGAGAATCATTCCAGGTTTCCAATTCATCGAGACAAGAATTGAGTTGATCCAGTTCCTGGTCTAATGCTTCATACTCTGAAGCAAAGAAGGAAGAAATGTTCGTTATTGACCAAGCAAGAGGTCAAGATGGCTGACTATTGGTCAAGTTCTTTTTCTTTTTCTTTTTTTTTATAGACTGAGACGAAGTTGAGGTCAATAAAGATGCAAAAAAAGAAGGAGACAATATCCAACCATATTGACCAAATAAGCTTGGTCAATCAAGGATTTATTACAATTATTTATGGCCAATAAGAGAACTTTTTTCTTGTAGGAACGATGTGGGAAATCCCCTGCACACAGGATGAGCTCATCTTGCCCACTCAGGTAGCTAATCTTGCTCGCGGATTCAGTCATATCATAAAAAGACATTTAGTCCAGACTAAAGAAGACTGCTTCCAGGCAGTATCTCCCGATCAAATGGGCTTGAGAATCCTCCACCAAGTAAAAATTGCTTGTCCCGTGATACTAAATTCAACAGGGTTTCCAAACTATATAGTGACCACAATAGCTCCTTTTGAAGCACAATTTAAAACACATTTCTCATGGACATTATTAGTCTGCTAGAGAGGTGTTTGAGTGTTTAAATAAACTTGTTTCAAAAGGTTGAGTTTGATCGTCCGGGTGAACGTAGTCCTGAATAGGACTGTTGTTGTTGACAGTGACTGACGTTTCGACAACCTGTGCGGTAGTCATCTTCAGAGTCAAAGTGAGTTGTGTCACGTCAGTTGATGGTATTATACTCTGGTTATTGATCTGATTGGTCAATTATGTCTCGATGTTATTGGTCGTCTGTCAGTTAAGCTGTGATGTTATTGGCTATGAAGACTCGTAATCAGTGATTGGTGCGTTTCGATCCGTCTATTGTCACAGTTAAACAGTCGTCTATTGTTAGTCAAATTGTCAGTTCTCCAGTTGTTCTCTCGTAGTTGGTTTTCCTTGATCTCGTCAATAAGTCATCTGTATGGCACTGGTGACTGTTGGCTACGATTCAGTGGCGTTTGTTCTAAGTTAGTAAACCAGCTTTCTAAAGTAAGACGTTGATAGTAGTCTGTAGAATACGTTATACATGTCGCAGAGTCCCAGTCAATTTGATGTTTCGTCTTTAAATGGTGCTCAGCAATGTGATTGTTGACATCACCATTCCTCGTCGCGCGTTTGTGTTCGGTCAGTCGCGTGCTTAGGTTTCTGCCGGTTTCAACAATGTAAGAAGCCTGGCAGTCACAGCATTTGATCTTGTATACTGCTCCCTGTCTGTCCTCCGGTTTATCTTTGTCCTTGACATTTGTAAGCAGTCGCCGTAAAGTGGTTATTGGTTTGTGCGCAACACGTATATTGTAAGGCTGTAATATACGTGCAATAGTTTCAGAGGTGCCTCTGATTTACGGTATAGTCGCTGTTGTAACAGGGCCAGAGTTTAATTTGTCTTGTTTAAATTAAAGATCTCCATAATTTGGGATGATATACAACTGTATATTACCCCTTGAATTTGCCATCATAGAAAAAATGTCCCCCATTTTCAAATTTTTTATCAGAATTGTACCTCCCCGCCACCTGTAAGTGAGAACTAACTGCTAAGTTTAAAAACTTTGTTGTCATCATATCGCATCATTCATCATGATCATGTGAAATGTAAATTACATAACGAATATTTATAAAATATTCTTCTCACAATACCACACTCGAAGTAGAGTCATTGTAAAATAAGTAAATAACTACCTTTTTCTTCCTCATCGCATTCTCCGTTTTCTATCGCAAGTTCTTCCGTTTTGCCGTTCACTTCTGCCACTCCGTTCTCTTCCGCCATGTTGGAGAAACGCTTACTGCTTTGAAAAGCAGATGGAGCGAAGACTGGGTTCCTGGATGTACTGTCCCATGATGCATTTTGCGCACTTCAGTTTCGGGAAAACTCTGAAGGGACAGGATCAGGAAAGTTTGATCGGGTTGACGTATTACCGGCGTAGTTCGATTTTGTGTGCTTTTCTGGGATAAAATGGCTAAATGGGGCGAAGGAGATCCGCGATGGATTGTAGAAGAAAGAGCTGACGCTAAAAATGTTAATAACTGGCACTGGTAAGGGAGAAAACATGCTGGAATTTCGGTGTATGTTGCACGTGGCTAAAAATTTAAAATGTGACTTACAAACTTGGCAATGATGACAGACACTGGGTCGAAAAAGGTTGTTTTGAACGCGATTTGTGAACTGCTGGGTTTCTTCTTATCTTAGGACTGAGAAAAATGCAACTCCATGGTCCAAGGAAAGAATCAAGACACTTTTGAAGGATTTAGAGATCGAAACAGATGAAGGTATGTTTACAGGCCAGGGTTAAAATATTACTAGCTACGTTACGCAAACTTTTCATAAGGGTTTTAACCCAGATATTACACATTCAAATTTATTCATTGCTAATGTTCAAAACTCCTCTGCACTCCATGTATTATACTTCGTTTGCAAAGATGAAAATGAAACACACACACACACAAAATAAATATGATCTATCAAAAATGTCCGAGTCAAAATGGAGGATTCAAGTCATCAGGGTTATTGAAAAGGGTTACAATAGTTTCAAAAGAAACTTTGTTTTGCTGTTGTGGTTTTGGAAGGAGAATTACCTCCACCTCTCCCTAAAAATGGCTTCATCAACTGATATATTAAAGGAGAATAATATTTACCACCATTAGAAGATTCAAAATCTTACATTTTGATTGGTATTGTTTTGTAATTAACTCTGACAGACGGTTAGTTCATCAGCTTCTGAATCTTTGTCATGGTGACAGATGAAAGTTTGCTCATCAGGGATAATTATTGCCTACAGTATTAACATGTCAAAATAATAGTCTCAGCAAGACCATTATTCCTAGATTCCAAAAAGAGTGAAAGAGGATGTTTTTCTCCTTTCTAATGCACTTTCAGTGTTCTATTTTTTAATGGGATGGGTTGATTGGTCCCATAGCCACCCCCCTCCCTACACTGAAGGCTACAGACCACCCTTTTTGTTGGGTGTCTTCCTTACACAATGATTTAAGTCTTGCACTTTGATTAGTTCTGGTATCAGATGACTAAACTGATTTGTGCAGCATAGTAACATTCAGGGCTGTCAATAAGGGTCGGCAGCCGGCCAAAACCGCCGGCTAGTTAGCCATCCTTAGCCGGCTACTTTTATCTCTTCTCCCATAACTGCTAACAAAAAAAAAGCACCATCGAATAAAATTGTAAAGCATCCATGTTCCAGTTTTGACTGACATTGAACACATATTTAAACAGGTTTAGATCTGTGAAACGTTTGAACCGTGCCATGTAGTGTAATGCCTGCAACATTTCGATAACATTGTTCCCAGTCTTGCGTGTATTCTGACGAAACAACATAGCATCCGCGGTGAAAAATACCTCTTGAAAACCCCTGGAAATGCTATTTCTGAGACTCTAAATTTCAAAATGTCCCTAGATGTCTCGGCCCTCAGGAACTTGTGCCTTTGGTGAGAGTTCTAAGGCCGCCTACTATTCATTGTCAGCCTGCTACTTGAAAACTTTTTGACAGCTCTGAACATTATGGCAGCCTATTGTATTATATATTTGTTGTTTTGGGAAGTAATTTAAAAGTATGATGAAAGACTAGTGAAAACCCCTTGCCATAATTCGACACTGATGAAAACTGAGAAAAAGGCTGGCATCAAGAAAGCCATTGTCAATAAATGAGAATCAACCTAGGTTAAGTCAATACTAACCTGAAGTCAAATTTGACCTGTAACATGTATATTCTTTAGTCCTTTATTTTTCTCTTGCCTTTGCATGTCTTCCTCCTTGCGCCCATGGCAATTAAAATGTACATTTGGGTATTTTACTTGTTGTACAGTCCCTGTGAAAAAATTTGTAGTCTAGCTTTTCTCTTGAATTTTTTTTTTTTGCTTTAAGGGAAAGTTAAGGTGACAGAGGTCAGTAACATCGATGGGGAAGCTTATGCCAAGTAAGTTCCAGAATATGATCTGTTTTAGTGCAAACACATCAGTATAAGTTTTATTTGACCTGATAAGTCAATAAATATGTTATTATTTCTCATCTCTTATCCCATTACTTTTATAGCAACAGAAAAGCTAAGCTGATCTTTTTCTATGAATGGGTTATCAGATTGGAATGGAAAGGTTAGTATTCATGCTTTATAATGAATATTTTTTGTTGTGGTAACTGTGTATTAACTATACTACATATTAACTTTACTAGTGAGTTATGTTTTAGTGGATGATACTGTGATAAACTTCATTGAAGTGCAAGTAGAGTTTATAGTCCATAACCCCCTTGTTTGGGAAGCCAGGCTAGTTTGACATTAACATTGATGGTCTTTGCTTTTTACTGCAAAAACTGAACTGCACTAGTTTCCTTGTGTCATTATTACTACGTGACTCATTTGAGCAAGATTAATCTGTATTTGATCTTCATAGTAAGCTGTTTCTTGTAGTGTAACATTAAAATTGCCTAACATTTTAACAGGGACAGTAACAGAGAGTGACAAAGTATGGAAAGGAAAAATTGAAATTCCCAATCTAAGCGAAGAACATGATGCGGATGAGGTTGATGTAAGTTGATTTTGTGTTGTCTCACTGTGTTAAAACCCTTTAAGTCCCAATATCCACAGACAAATTCTCCAAACTGATCTCCATACATTTCTTTGAAGAATTAGTTGAGAGAATTTGGTAAAAGATCAAATATTTTTCTCTTTGTGATCATTTTGTTAATTCTCATAGACTTTGCTCATGCTAGTCTATGGATATCGTTAGGAGAAAAATGATTTTGAGCACTATTCAGGGCTTCTGATATTTCGCGGAAAAAAGAGCAAAATTTCGCGGGATTTTCTGGGGCAAATTCGCGGAAAAATCGGCCGATTTCGCGGGATTTTCGCGGGAGAAAAGACAAAATCGCAGAAAAATCGGCCAATTTCGCGGGATTTTAGCGGAAAGAAGTCAAATTTCGAAGGATTTTCAGGGGCAAATTGTTAGAAAAATCGGCCGATGTCACCGGAAATTTCGGGGGGAAACTTCGCCAAGAAACAATCAGTAACAAAAAACCGATTTCATTGGATTTTTTTGGCAAATTTCGCTAAAATCGATCAATTTTTAACGTTTTTTTAACAGGGATAATCATTTGCTCTTTCAACAACCGTTCGCTTGAGAAATGAGCGAATCCTAAAGCTATTAACATTATGGTTAGTGCCCAGTTTTTCGCAACATTAATCTAAGAACGCTTGGTAGTTTTGGGACGTTGTTTACTCTTTGCAGTGACGAAGTTTCAAGATAAATTTGGACATTTGGGGTGAATAAAACAGGTCTAATAGCCAAGATAAGTATTAAATATGTTTTGCCGACATGTATTTGGAAATATTTCTAGCAGATTTCGCGGTATTTCGCATTTTTTGGGGAATTTCGCGGGTCCGTGACCGCGCGAAATATCAGAAGCCCTGACTATTGGGACTTAAAGGGTTAAAGTGTGTAGATGAGCTAACTGAATACATTCAATACTACTAGGAATCAGTAGGTTAACATGAAATAATAGAGACCTTTAGCTTCACTAACAAGGAGAAGACTTGACTTAGAGTTTATTTGCGTCTTGTCAAAAAAGAGACATCCCCGAAAGCTTTTTTTTCCTTCAGATTAGTTAACATGGTTGTTTTTATCGGAGGAGGTTAAGCCCTCTCCCAGTCACAAAATGGTGAAACTTCTAACATTTGATAACTGTTATGCTTGTTTCTGCCACTACGACATTGTTTATAATACTCGTAGTTGAATGACAATGGCTATCATGTTTTCCTACCAGAATGATGCTTGTTTATGCTTGCGTGCTACTTATAAACTTAGTATTGAGAAAATGTCACAATTATAATTATTGTAGTCGTACTTGTCTTGTTGTACTTTAGGCCAAATGAACTAGGAAAGGCACTTATTAATTTTTGCTCATTTTTAAATTTTGTGACTTCAGGTGTTGGTGACAGCAGATAAGAGTTCTGATGAAAGTCATAAATTAAAAGAAATTGTGAGAACAGTTGGTAGAAAGTTGATCAGGGAAAAGTTGGCTCAGTATATAAAGGAACTGAGACAAGGTAAGCTATTTTTTTAACAGTAATACACATTCAAAGGGATGAACATTACAAAGTCAGCAATGAGAAACCAAAATCATTTTCTCTTTATTTGTCTGCCTTGTGATTCTCTTCATAACGTGTGATTTTATTAATAACTCTAGGAGCATTTGGTGTATGTGTAAGGCAATAAGTAATGACTTCAACAAATAATATTAACCTAAAGCAACAACAATTATGCTTGTGATATCCTTGTGATATAACTCCTTTAAGTATTAATTTTATTGCTGTTTGTAGAATTCAGTCAAGGAATGATTCTTCCATCCAAAGGCAGTCCAAATCCTCAGAGATCAGCTAATGCAGAAAATAAGGAGGCATTCAATGCTGGTGTTAATAATTCTGCTGGTTCAGCAAAAAATGACAAAAATAAAAGTAAGTTGCATAATTATGTACAACTTTTGTCAACTTTTTTTGCACAGCTGCTCAAGCGAGTTGAAAGCGATTCAGTCCTTAAACAACACTTTGCTAGAATCAGCAACATACTATTAGCTGAGACACTCTACCCTAAAGTGCCTCTCTGATGTTTTGCCAGCTTAAAAAGGGGAAAATACATGTGAAGCTTTCCCTCCTCCACCCCTTCTTGTATTTGTTGTGCCTCTGTTGTTATTGTAGAAAATAACAGAACTTCCCAACTTTGAATGGAGGGGAGGGGTGTGGACTGTTTTGCTCTCCAAAGTTACCCCATTTGGGGATGATGTCTTAAAAATTTTGTCAACAATTGTATGCATAAGGCTGTGCTCTACGAAAAACTATGATAAGGTACCTGCTGCTCTGAAACTGTGAAATCCCGGGTTCCCAGGTTATTCATGATCTCTATGAAAAAAGAATGATTTTCTTGTTTCTGCATGAGCAAAGGTTGGGTGCCAGAGGCCACTAGGTGCTGCCAGAGCACAGCATTGGATAATTAAGTACACTGGTAAAAAACTGGAGCTTAGTATAGTGTGCCATGATTTAATTGACTGTATTAATACTTTAGGCCAATCAAGTGAACTGATTTGACCTCTACTGGATTATGAAAATACAGTTAAACTTTATACACACGTGGCCACCAATAAATTAATATAGTAATTTTATTAATATTGAATGATTTTTAATATCAACCTTTTAATTGATATTAATTTTGAGGGTCATATTAATTGATTATGAATATCAATAGTTTTATTGATATTTTATTGTTAGTGCATGACTATCTAAAATACCAAAACCAGTTTTCTCAGTCAAAGGACTATGTTTGGAACTTCCCAAAAGTGACTAACAAACCAAGTGTGAAATTGTTCTCATGACATGAAAATAAGTTTTATTTGCACAGGAAGAAAAGATAATTTTCATATCAATGGCTTTGCACTTGGTTTAGGGCAACTTGAAAATGATCTTATAATCTCTTTCATTTTGGGTGGTTGCCTACAGGAAGGTGGATGTGCTCCAATTTCCCCCTACTGTTCCTTATTTGATGGCTGCCGCTCAAGCTAGCTACTATGCCGTTTGCCAGCTATTGCAAAAGCTGTTCCCTACCATGCAGTGCATCTAGAGTTAATAGAGACCTTAAGCAGCTTTTTTATGGGATTCTACATGTTACTGCAGTTTGCAGCTACTCGTTTGCAGTTTCACGCTGCCAGGATTTCAAATTTTTATTGATTGTTTAGTGCTGCCATTTAGTGCCACATTTTCGTCAAGTCAAAGTGCATCATTTTTATTGCCCAAAAACATGAATCATTCATTGATCCGAGTTCAAAAATCTTACCAGCATATTGCAGGGAGATATAGAAACCTACCTCATGCCTTTAAACGTTAGGCTGTACAATTATTAGTGGAAAAAACCTTGCCTTACGTCACCTACCGCTAGAAGCTCTTCCTGCCGTTCAAACTTGAACTGTAAACTGCAAATGTGACCGCAAGACCGTGATCACACATGTCCTTAGAACTCAGGTTTGCCGTTTCCCATGGAAGACCTGATACTAAAGTTATCTAATGTAAGACTTGTAACTGATATTTTTTCCATACATTCCTCAACTTATTAAGTGACACACCATTTATTTTTTCATCTTGTTTTGAAGGTAATACAACAGAAAAGGTGGGCTGTCCCATCTCTACCAAGAATTTGACCATGAAAGAAGAGTTCCTCACCACTGCAGAAGATTTATATGCTGCGCTAACAGAACAAGAGGTATTGTGAATTTTTCTGCCAGGGATAGGGGTACTCCCTTGTGCTGCTGAACAGAGTACGGATTCCTTATTTGCAGTCGATTAATTAGCCACCCTCACCTGGGTGCAAATTTTTAGGCTAGAGTGTGCGCTTATTCGTGGTAGGTGCTTTTGCGAGGCTGGGCTGAAGATCACGACAAAACACGTAAGTAATAGCCTTGTCACACACGAGCGTTTTGTCGTCCTCTTCTTCCTGCCATCCTGTTGCATAAACTCACTAATGTCTGGCCAAAATGGTGACTTGGCTGGCCTAAAACTTCACTCATCGGTCATGTTGACTAGTCCTCCACACTCTCATTCTTGAACAAACAGCCAAATCCTTGCCTGTAAATCTTACATTTTTGTCTCTTTGTGCAAACACAATCATGTTCACGACTGGAAAATGACACAAGGATTAGTTAGCTCCCCCCCCTTCCCTTACATTTTGACCGGTCAGAAACGGTCAAAAATTTCTTTGGCTGGTCATCGTGTCCGGCCACCGCCCGAAAATTATTTTGAGCCCTGAATTGTTTGACAAACAATTTGCCTTCTTCCATAATAACTGCAGAAACTGGAAGCGTTTACTCGGAGTTCTGTGAAAGTGGATGCTAGCCGTGGAGGAACGTTTGTTCTCTTCAATGGAAACGTGACAGGAAAATTTCAAGAGTTGGTAAGTAAACACACAAACAAGTTGGGCCTTGCTAATGCTTTGTTGGGCTCAACATATATATCTGGAATTAGGTTTTATTAGGAAAATCACATTTAGCAGTGAAATACTGTAGAGTTAGCCAGGACAATAATTTATCTTAAGCTTCAAGGGTATTCATCATCATCAGCTCAGTGGGTAGAGCCTTGAATGCAAAGTGTGAGATCGTGGGTTTGATCCCCGGGGCCCGAACGAATACTCAGGGTCTTGAAATAACTGACAAATGAAGGTACGTCCTTTGCGCGACAAATGACCAGACCTTCGTGTGGCTCAGATGACCAGGTAAAGAGCAAGGCCGACCCATCTCCAGTAGGAGACATGAGAATTCTGTCCTTCATTAGTACCTTCGTGCTAAATACATTGACACTCAAATAAAGTGCATTTTTATATTATTATTATTATTTTTATTGCAGTCAAACCTACTGTGGCCCAGAAGGGTCACACATGCAAATTAAAAATGTTGCTGCAAACTAAAAATTTTACCTGCAAATTAAAAATAGGACATGCAAATTAAAAATTGTACATGCAAACTAAAAATATTACAAACATGACACATGAATGGGCCGACGGCTGTAAGGCCAGGTCGCATGGCTCTGACCAGGTCCTCATCACTTATACTGCACGCGCAGGACTTTTTATTTTTAATTTGCATCGATATGTTTTCTATTTTCAATTTGCAGCACAATATTTAGTTTGCATGTACTATATTTAATTTGCAGGCAATATTTTTAGTTTGCATGTACCATTTTTAATTTGTATGTACTATTTTTAATTTGCATGTGTGACCCTTCTAGGCCGCCGGACAAACCCTGTTAATACGGACACTGATGGGGCCCACAGAAAGTGCTCATACTAACGGGTCTGAATTTAGAGAAAATGTAAGGGCTTTCTTTCCCAAGGGACAAAGCAAACTGTCTGTTATACTTAGGTGTCTGTAATTAAAGCGGATTTTGACTGTATTGTGGTACGGCTTTGTGGGATGTCCGCGATTCGAAAAGTCCATACTATGATTGAGTGGAATGTCTTCTTGGGCCTCTCCTTTCTCCCGAGTCTTACCTACCTTTCTTCTTGTTATTACTTTTGCCAGGTTTCTGACGAGAAGATTGTAATGCAGTGGAGATATAAAAGCTGGCCAGAAGGTTAGAATGCTGCATTTTTTACTCTGACGAAAAAAAAAGCATTTGCAGTCGAACTGTTGGGAAGCTCTGCGTTAAATAAGTTCCCTATCTATGCGGTACCCCACCTTCAGTCCTTAACCGAGTAAAATAAGAAAACAAACCGCCTTTTCCCCAAATCAAGGATGAAGCCACGTGAAGGCTAATGTGCGACTGCCATTTACACATCCTTGATGTGAAGGGAAGGGGAGGGGGAGCGTTTTAGCCGTTTTGTTGCTTGGGTACACTGCCTGCGAGGAAGGTCCCCATCACGGGCGAGCTTCTCTCTCGCGTCTCTTTTCGCGATATATCCCTCTAAAGGAGAGCTTGCTCGCAGGCCAGTAATCTTGTGAAAAACATTTATGACGTCGCTACGCGCTGCAACGTTTCCTGCGACATCTTCAAGCGCAACATTTACCGCTGACCAACAGTATGAAAATTGTGAGAGGGAAATTTGATTGGCTCGTTTTGCCCGATCAATAGATTTGCTCGATTAGTACTCTACAGATAAGGAAGCAAAAAAATAAACATTCATTGTGTGAGCAAACGTTTTATTTATCACCCGTCTTAAGAAAGGATACCCCCCCTTTCGCGCTGCCTTATGAAATAGCCTTGGCCCTTTAAGGAGTTACTGTAGGAGGTAAACGGTACAAAAAGGCCCCAGTTGTTGAAAAGGTGGATAACGTTATCCACTGGATAAATCTATATCTACTGAATACACAATTGGTCTCCCTGGTACTTATCCGCTGGATAGTGATTTATCCGTGGGATAGCGCTATCGGACGTTTGAACGGTCGGGGCCTAAACATATAATTCTCCTGAGTGTATTTTTTTAAAGAACGAACGATATAACACTAATGCACTAAAAAGACAGACCCACGTTTTCAAACGTCTCCACGATCCAGAATGTTTTTCCTCAAACCTCGCGCAACCTATGATAGTTTCAGAGCCGACAAAAGACCAAAACGCGCACAATATACACTTTGTCAAACCAAAAACGCATTATTCTAGACAGTGTCTACGAAGCAAAAATGTCTGACTTTGGTTTTGTTCATTCCCTGATTCAGGTCACCACTCGACAGCAACCATCACACTGGACCAACAGGATGATCGCACCCAGCTGACGTTAACCCAGACTGGAATTCCAGAAGAGGATTTTGAGCGAACAAAAGAGGGCTGGAAACAGTATTACTGGGAAAATATGAAACAGACATTTTTCTGGGGCATGAAATATTTCTGACTAGAGTTTCTGTATGATTTGGCGTTGTTTTACTTTGAACACGTGGTTGTCACCTAACATAACGATATTCACAATCTTTCTTTAGAGTACCGCAATTGCCTTTTCGTACAGAGAGAATCGAAATGATCGAGTCAGCCGAGTATTCTTTTCAATGTTTGTTTGTATTTTTTGTTGATTGTTCAGTGCTTGTCTGAAAGTGTTAAAAGTTAAATCTTGTCTGGTTATTGAGTAAATAAAATAATTTTTTAGCCTTATTTCTGCCATGTTTATTAGTTTTTCAGAAGTATCGAAAAATGAACACCTTGATGGTTGTATGACATCTATCTGGTAATCTCATCTAATATAAAAGTGTAGAGAAAAACATTTATTATCAGTTTTGACCTTCTTCAGCATTTCAATAAACTGCTTCTTTCCAGATTTTAGAACCAAATCAAGGATCATGAAGTTATTGGGATACCGCCGGGAATGATCAGCATCAACAATTTATTAATATTTTCATAATAACTTACTGTAAAGCAAAACTGCATCCGCTATAAATTCCCAACCCAGAAATTGTAAGGGAATGAGTACAAGCTTTCGGCGCAATGATTTCTAGGATTGTTTAAGAGGACGAGCGAATACTTATGATTGGTTGACAGAGACGTAACGTCAGATTTTGAAGGTGTACGCACACGGGAAGATACTTCAAGTCGAGGGTGGCAAAGTCCTCCCTGCAAATCGGGCTTTAAATATGGCGGCAATTTTTGAACCCGTGACTGCAGATTATTCACCAGTTCACAGCATCCTCAACAATTTTTAATTCCGATCGTCTTGATACTGTAGCGCTGGGAACATCGACATGCTGTCAACTTGTAAGATTTTTTGTGCCTTTAAGAAGGAAAGGTTTTTACAGCATACAGTCGATAATGAAGTGTCCGCATTAGCGAGGTAAACTCCGGGGGGGGGGGGGGAGGACTCCGCATATGAAAGGGGTGCGTATGCTCGTCGTCTCGCTTAGGGGTCTAAATTTCGGATTTTGGTCTCACTTAGGGTGTTCTGGTCAAAACACCATCATATTTAGCCGTGACGGGTCTCGTTTAGGGTTGCAAGCAAAAAAATTTATATATTGTCTGTGTTTCACATGGTCTCCTTCAGGGGTCAGAAAAAAGCTTGGGCCACGCCCAGATCGATCGGTCTCCTTTAGGGGTTTAATTCAAAATTTTCGACGAGCATCCCCATCCCTTTCCGGAGTCCCCCTGTGGGTTAACGTTCTATGAGAATCTGTTCATTGAGCCGCGAAAACATGTGCGCGTTGCCCGCATTAACGCAAAAATACGGGCTTGAGTGCTTTTCAGTTTGATCCGTTTTCCCTTAGGATTCCAAATTCAAATAGTTTGCCCTTCCACAGCCCTTCTCATAACGTCCTTGGAAACGAGGCTGCCCTGGACCTCTCCTTTCTTCGAATATGGCTGCCATTTCAGAATCTATGACAGCAGATTATTCACACCATCGCGAACAACTTATCGAGCGTCTGGACACGCTGAGAAACAACGAACGTTTCTGTGATGTAATAGTCGAAGTAAAAGGTAAAGAGTTCAAAGCTCATAAAGCTGTTCTAGCTGCAGTGAGCCCGTTCTTTCTTACACTTCTGGAAAGTAACATGAGAGAAAGCAACGAACACTTGATCAAGATAGAGCTTGAAGAAGCAACTGCGTCCATCATAGAAGATGTACTAAAGTACGTTTACACTGGAAATGTTTCAGTCACCGAAGAAAGTGCTCACAATCTGGTTGCAACCGCAGATTATCTCCTTTTACCTGGCTTAAAAACGTTAGCTTGTGATTTCTTGAAAGATATTTTGGCAACTGAAAACTGTGTTTTTAACTATTACTTTGCTGAAAAGTATCGATGCGTAAGTCTAAAGGAAAAATGCCTGGAGCTTATCATGTCAAATTTTAGTGCTGTTATGGAAACTGATGATTTCCTTAATCTTGATGCAAAGCAAATCATGGAATGGGTGTCCAGTGATGACATCATCATCAAAACAGAGGAAGATGTTTTCAAAGGAGTCGTGAAGTGGGTTCATCATAACAAAATTGAAAGGGAAAAAGAATTTTCTGTTTTGTTGCATCAAGTCCGCCTTAATTCTCTCCAGCAAGATTATCTGGTCAATGAAATGGTGAAAGAGGAGCTCATAACAACTAACAATGAGTGTTTAAACTTTGTTTTGGGATCCTTGAAGTGGATTTTTAACCCCAGAGTTGAAAGTAGTAGCAGACCCAGAACATGTCTGCAAACACAGATGAATGGTATTTTTGTTTGTGGTGGAAGGAAAGCCCTGAGTTACTTTCCCAACAAAAACATTTGGTATCAGTTACCAAACATGTTCATGGAACATCAGAATCATGCTGCCATACAGTACCAAGGTAAAGTTTACACTTTTAGTAAACAAGACGGTGCAGATTATTACATCCCTTCAACCAACACTTGGGGTGCAATTAAATCAGACTCTCCACTTTTCGTTGAGAAATTTTGCAGCTCATTTATACTGAAAGAGAGAAAGACTTTGTATGCTGTATTACAGACCTTCACATTTGATTGTTTCATTTGTTATTTTGATCCTTCCAAGAGTGAATGGAGATATTTTGTTGGACATGAAAAGCTTCAGTGCTGGGGAGCCTGTGGTGTGACTGATGGGCAACACCTCTATGTAATAGGTGGAACTAAAAGCAACATTCATAAGGTTGTTGGATCAGCCAAAGTATTGAAGATTGATCCTGAGGACAGTGAATGTAAGGAGGTTGCATCTATGAATGAGGCAAGGCATAATGCATTTGGAACAGCCATGAATGGCAAAATCTATATAGCAGGTGGAATGCAAACTGATGAAGAAATTTGCAGAGTTCTTGTCAATGACACATGTGAGATGTATGACCCATCAACCAATGAGTGGCAAATGATGCCGAGTCTTAATATACCACGCCACTCTTCAAGCATGGTCTGCTTTCAGGAATCACTGTATGTTGTAGGTGGGTTGAGAAATAAGAACAAACATTCAAGAGAGTTATCAGTGGAGGTGTTTGATTTTAAGACAAATGTTTGGGAGAAGAAATCAACCATACCAGTTGATGATGAAAATGAGGAGGAAAGAAAGAAAAACTGGCATTACAAAGCCTGTTCTGCAGCAATGCATAGAGATGCATTAGAAGAGCCTATTGAGTGTTAATCTCATAAAAACCATTCAAGGCCTCACAGTGTTTTTTTCTTGCTGTAGTAATACTTCTTTCATGGTGTCTTTGTGGTCCACAGAGAGATTGATTGATTCGATTTTATTTGAATGTGGCAATTTCGTAAACAAGTTATTTTTACAAAATTGCATTGAATGAAAGCTGTATTGAAAAGGAGGAAAATACTGTATTAACTACAAGCCAAAAATATGTACAGATGGTGTTGCATTAGCAAGTTTGGGGAGCTGCTGAAAAAGACATGTAGGAATTATAGCTTTGTGTTCATTTAATTAGTGTTTGTATTTAGATGTAAGATTTCTGTTTGTGTTCCTGAAAGCTTTCAGTGTAACCAATATACCCTGCATCACATATCCTACATTGATAATTTTAGAATTTTCAGCATAACCAGTGTAGCATTTTCAAATTTGACTGCCTCATTAGAGAGATGCTCTATATTCGCAAGCTTCAACCCACCCTCGGGGCTAAAAAAAAGTTAATTCCAGCTCTTACATTTTGCTTGCCTCAGGGGCCTTGTCTTGCTTGTCTTAGCTAATGATTTTTTCAAAGGAAGACTTGTGTGAACCCTTGTCTATTGGGTAAGTAGGGCCCAGTTCAGATGTCGCTCCAGTCATGTACTTACCGGTAACCTAACTAATGAATTAAGTACGGCAAAAGAATGGCGTCTGAATCAATTTGGTAAGGCAGTTTTAGTTTGGTGCGGCAAAAGCGCAAACTAGATTGTACAATGTACCAGACTGGACTTCTTTAGAGCCCCGACCATGAACATGCAAACTAACTCTGTAAATGCTAAGGTGTTTGTTTAGTGCTTCTGTTGTTATGCTGCATTCATATGCATCACATAATTTGTTTCTTAGTCTTAGGAATGTGGTCATAACTGATGATGTCAAAATGTTGTGTTTTTTACTCTTATTATTCCACATTCTTGCTTTTTATTTTAACATTGAACAGGGGCAGGGTGATTCAGCCTTTTTGCAAGCGGTTTCCAGCTTGTCTGAAATTAGACACTTATGAGGTAGCCCATGCACTTTTGGGGTAACTTTTTCTCCTTTTTCGGAAATTACTTGAAAATGGTAATCACTAGCTGTGTACTAGCAGTTGAAGACAATATGGCCAGCTTGATAACTTAAGACACAAGATGTAGCCTAGTAGTGTTATGATATATACTGGACTAAGATATCTTGTAGAGTTTTATGCTTTTATGTGTCTTTAAAACCATTAAGTAGCAACAGTATCATTGTGAAATTTGAAAACTCTGTCTGTCATTAAAAAATAAAGGGTGATGGGAGTTCCAGAAGTCCTTAATCTCTTCCCTGGATATACTCGTAATTAAAAATTGTAGATATAAAAGAAACTTAGTCTCCTTTTTGAACTCAGTTAGGAGTGATTTCCAGTTCCTTGCTTGCACGTTTTGGGAGGCTTTTCTTCCAAAAGGGGCTCTGGTTTGGAAAGGGTCAAAGAGTGCATTTGTTGATAAGTTTATGTTCTGGAGCTCAGCCCTACTTATTCTTTAAAAACCTTGTATAAATTGCTTTGGACATTTTTGGTTGCTTAAAATCTTGAAAATATATATAAATGTAATGCTCAAATTGTTACGTGTTAACACATGTTCACTCCATGTCCTTAGCCTGCAAGCAGGCTCTCCATTTTGAATGGCAACCAGCCAGGTGTTTAACCAACTTTGAGCTAAAGGGATTCAATGATTGTTGGAGAAATTCAAAACAAGCAAAAAATTGGCAGTGAACTGTGATTCCCTTTTCCTAACATTGAAAAAAGTGGTGTCAGTAAAACATGGGGTCAGATTGCTGTTTTAGGGTTGTATGTTAGGGGTAGTGTTTACCAAGCCAAAAGGGGAGCCGCCATATCTGTATTCCAGGTTCTGGATTCTTTGTCAGTGAAATTTGGATTCCTGATTCCAGTCTCTAGCGGGATTCCAACTTCCATATGATGTATTCCAGAATCCAAAGCCCAGGATTCTGGATTCCACAGCAAAAATTGGCTGGATTCCGTAATCCACAAGCCAAATTTGCCGGATTAACTAATCCAAATTCCCTTTTATGGGGTGAAGGGGGGCTTAAAACTCAAGAGATTATTGCTTCAATTTTTCTTCATTTTAGTCTTCTTTACCTAAATACCTGCAAATTACACGTACACTTTTGTAGAAACCTGCTTAGAAATAAATTGGGAAGATACAAATTCTTAATTGATCCTGCTTGCAGGAATTTACTGTTTTCTGGATCCTGCAAAGGGTCTTGCCAGTAACCCATGGGTTCGTGCTCTTGCTGAAAACAATCGCTCACAGACTAGTCACTATTCTTGTTCTTGCCTGATTCTTGTTATTTTTACGCGTTCCTGATCTACGCAAAAACATGGGCTTCTTTGCAGTCTAGACGATTATCCCAATACTTCCGCCTTCCGCAGATTAGCCCAATCCCTTCTCAAACATTCCTGCAAACGAGGCTGTTCTAGATCTCCTCCTTTCAAACATGGCGGCCGTCTCGGAAGGGGTTTCTGAACCGATGACTGCAGATCATTCACAGCACTGCTTACAACTTACCGATCGTCTTGAGATCCTGAGAAACAACGAACGTTTCTGTGATGTGATAGTCGAAGTAAAAGGCAAAGAGTTCAAAGTTCACAAAGCTGTTATAGCTGCATCAAGCCCGTTCTTTCTAACGCTTCTAGAAAGTAACATGAGAGAAAGCAACGAACATTTGATCAAGGTAGAACTTGAGGAAGCAACTGCGTTTATCATGGAAGACGTGTTAAAGTACGTTTACACTGGAAATGTTTCAGTCACCGAGGAAAGTGCTCACAATCTGATTGCAACAGCCGATTATCTTCTTTTACCAGGCTTAAAATCGTTGGCTTGTGATTTCCTGAAAGGGATCTTGGCAACAGAGAATTGTGTTTTTAATTATTACTTTGCTGAAAGATATCAGTGCATGAATCTAATGGAGGAATGCCGAGAGCTCATAAAATCGAATTTCAGTGCTGTCATGGAGACTGATGACTTTCTAAACCTTGATGTAAGGCATGTTAGTAAATGGGTGTCCAGTGATGACATCACTGTGAAAGCAGAAGAAGAAGTTTTCAAAGGAATCGTCAAGTGGGTTAATCACAACAAAAGTGAAAGAGAAAAAGAATTTCCTTACTTGTTGCATCAAGTCCGCCTTAATTCTGTTCACCAAGATTATCTGGTCAATGAATTGGTAAAAGAGGAACTTATAACAACTAACAATGAATGTCTCAACTTTGTGTTGGGTTTTTTGAAGTGGATTTTGGACCCAACTCTTCAATGTAGCATCAAACCTAGAACGTGTTTGCAAACACAGAAGAATGGTATTTTTGTTTGTGGTGGAAATAAAGCCTTGTTTTACCTTCCCAATGAAAACATTTGGTACCAGTTATCAGACTTGATGGAATATCAGAATCATGCTGCAATACAGTGCCGAGATAAAGTTTATATGTTCAGTAACCAAGGTGGTGGAGATTATTACATGCCTTCAACCAACACTTGGGGTGCAGTTCAATCAGAGTTAAAATTTTCTGGTGAGAAATTGTGCAGCTTGTTAACATTGGATAAATACAAAATTTTGTATGCTGTGTTGGAGAGGTCGACTGAAAGCTGTGCCGTGTATCAATATGATCCTGCCAAGAGTGAATGGAAAAATTTTGTTAAAAATGAAAAGCTTCAGTTCTGGGGAGCTTGTGGTGTGACTGATGGGTGTCACCTTTATGTAATAGGCGGAAATGAAAGTGACACTTGGTTCGCCCTTGGATCAACCAAAGTAGTAAGGATTGATCCTGAGGACGGCAATTGTGAAGAGGTTGCATCCATGAATGAGGCAAGGCATGGGGCATTTGGAGCAGCGATGAATGGTAAAATCTATGTGGGAGGTGGAAGACGGAGATCTACCACCCTCAAGACATGTGAGATGTATGACCCATTAACTGACGAGTGGCAGGTGATGCCAAGTCTTAATGTACCACGTCACTCTTCAAGCATGGTCTGCTATGAGGAAGCTCTTTATGTTGTAGGTGGAATAAAAATGAAGGGTAGACAGCAGTGTAGACAGTTATCTGTGGAAATGTTTGATTTTAAGACAAATGAATGGAAGAAGAAATCAATGATACCAGTTGCTGATGAAATTGAAGAGGAAAGAAAGCAAAAATGGCATTACAAAGCCTGTTCTGCAGCAGCACATAAAGATGCATTACAAGAGCCTATTGAGTGCTAATCTCATAAAAACCATTCAAGGCTTTACAGTTGATAGTATCTGTTTTTCTTACTGTAATAAGTCTTTTATGGGCGTATCCCCATGGTCCACAGAGAGATTGATTGATTCACTTTTATATGAATGGGGTAATTTCATAAGCAAGTTATTTTTACAAAATTTCATTGCATGAAAGCTGTACTGAAAAGGTGGAAAATACTGTATTAACTACAGTAAAAATATGTACAGATGGTGCTGCGTCAGCAAGTTTGGGGAACTGCTCAAAAAGACATGCAGGAATTATGGCTTTGTGTTCATTTTATGTTTATGAAAGCTTTCAGTGTAACCAATATACCGTAAAATTCCGAAATTAAGCCCCAGGGGTTATATTTTTCAAAGGCCCTTTTTATGGGGCTTTTTTTTGGAGGGGCTTATATTCGGAGGGGCTTATCTACAGAAGGAAATTTGCGTTTCAAAATCGATTGGGCTAGCCTTATAGTTGGAAGTACATTTACCGTTTTTGCTTTGTTTTACTTTGTATTTGAGGGCAATTTTCCAAGTACAAGCCCTCAGGGGGCTTATATTTAGACGGGGGATTTAATGGAGGGGTTTTTGCATTACTGGTGTGGGGGGCTTATATTTGGAGGGGCTTATACATGGAGGGGCTTATTTTCGGAATTTTACGGTACCCAGCATCACATACCCTACATTGATAATTTTTTAATTTCCAGCATAACCAGTGTAGCATTTTCAAATTTGACTGCCTCATTAGAGAGATGCTCCATATTCGCAAACTTCAACCCACCCCCAGGGCTAAAGAAATGTGAATTCCAGCTTGTCCTCAGGTAACCAGCTCTTTCATTTTGCTCGCCTGGGCCACTTCTTGCTTGTCTTAGTTAATGATTTTTTGAAAGGATGACCTATGTGGACCCTTGTCCATTGGGCAAGTAAGGTTCGGTTTAGATGTTGCTCCAGTCATGTGCCGAATCTAACTGATGAATTAAGAATGGCAAAAGAGTGGCATCTGAATCAATTTTGGTGTGGCAAAAGCTTAAAGTTCAACAGTCTGTCAAACTTTGTCAAACTTAACTTATGCTTGACACATGGTGGGTCATCTGAATCAGACGTTGCGCCAGTGTTGCTCCAAAGGCGAACTTATTCAATTAGGTTTGGCACGTGGAAAGTATGGCATCTAAACCAGGCTAAACTTCAAAAGTCACTTGCCCAGCAAGAAAATTTTCTATTCCCAAACTACATTGTACATTGTACATACCAGACTGGACTTCTTTAGAGCCCTGACCCTGGACATGCAAACTAATTCTGTAAATGCTAAGGTGTTTGTTTAGTGCTTCTGTTGTTATGCTGAATTTATAATATGCATCACGTAATTTGTTTCTTAGTCTTAGGAATGTGGTAATGAATGATGGTGCCAAAACATTGTGTTTTGTACTCTTATTTTTGCACATTCTTGCCTTTTGTTTTAATATTGAATAAGGGAGATTGAGCCTTTCTGCAAGAGGTTTGCAACTGGTCTAAAATTAGACACTTACGACGCAGCCCATGCACTTTTAGTGGAACTATCCTCCCTTTGGTGGAAATTACTCGAAAATGGTAATCACTAGCGGTGTACTAGCTTAGTTGAAGACGAGATGCCCAGCTTGCTGGCTCACAACACAAGACCTAGCCTTAATTAGACTGTACAGTTGTAGTATTGTGTAATGCTGGAGATATCTTGTCGCATTTTTAAAGAATTAAAGTTCTTTTATGTACCTTTAAAACTACAGAACAGCAACAGTATCATTGTGAAATTTGAAAACTCAATAATGTCATTTAAAAAAATATATAAAGGGTGATATGGGCTCCAGAATAAGGAAGTATAGGATATAAAAGAAACATAGGCTCCTTTTGAACTCAGTCAAGAGTGATTTCAAGTTCCTTGCTTGAACATTTTGGAAGGCCTTTCTTTCAAAAGAGGTTCTGGTTTGGAAAGGGTCAAAGGGTGCATTTCTTCATAAGTTTACATTCTGGAGCTCACCCTTACTGATTATTTAATAACTTTATAATTGCTTTGGAAGTCTTTGGTTGCTTACAATCTTGAAAATAGGAATAAATGTAATGTTCAAATTGTAAAGTGTTTTTTATTACATTTATTTACATTTATTAAAACATGTGTTAAAAGCATGTCCTTAGCCTGTGAGCAACCTCTCCATTTTGAGTGGCAAGCAGCCAGGTGTTTAATCAACTTCAAGCTAAAGGGACTCAATAACTGTTGGAGAAATTCAGAACAAGGCTAACAAAAAAGAAAAAAAAACTGGTAGTGATCCCTGTTTCCTAACAATAAAAAAATATAAGGAGTAAAGAAGCTTTCAAGACCTGTTTATTTTAGGATACAGCAAAAACCGCAAGTAAAAACCAAGGTTTTAAGGACCTGTTAGACTACCATTTGCAAGTTAAACTATTATTTATTAGATCAGGCTGCTGTTCAGCTTAAGATTAGCAACAGGTTCTTATTTTACCAAAAAAAAACCTGTATGGTATGTTCTGAAGCCGAAAGGGGGCCACTATATCTATAAAGGGAATCCAGGGTTCGGGATTCTTTGTCAGTGAAATTTGGATTCCGGATTCCAATGTCTAGTGGGATTCTGAATTCCATGTGCAGTATTCCGGAATCCAAAGCCTAGGATTCTAATTCCCGTAAATTACCACTTTTGTAAGAACCTGCTTAGAAATAAACTGGGAAAATACAAATTCTTACTTGATCCTGCCTAGTTGCAGGAATTTACTGTTTTCCAGGAGCCCATCACAAGGGCTTGAAAGAGTCAGGGCTCCTGCGGTTTTATGGATCCAGCAAAGACTCTTGCCAGTAGCGCATGGGTTCCTGCTCTAGCTGAAAAGAGATGCTCACAGACTATGCTTGTTGTTTAAACGCGTTCCTGGTCAACGCATTTACATGGACTTCTTTTTAATCACACGATCCGTTTCTTAAAGAAATTCCAAATTCCAATACTTCCGCGTTCCACAGTTCTCAAACATACTTGCAAACGAGGCTCTTCTAACATCTCCTCCTTTCAAACATGGCGGCCGTCTCGGAAAGGGTCTCTGAACCGATGACCGCAGATCATTCACAGCACCGCCAACAACTTACCGATCGTCTTGAGATCCTGAGAAACAACGAACGTTTCTGTGATGTGATAGTCGAAGTAAAAGGCAAAGGGTTCAAAGCTCACAAAGCTGTTCTAGCTGCATCAAGCCCGTTCTTTCTTACACTTTTAGAAAGTAACATGAGAGAAAGCAACGAACATTTGATCAAGATAGAACTTGAGGAAGCAACTGCGTCTATCATGGAAGACGTGTTAAAGTACGTTTACACTGGAAATGTTTCAGTCACTGAGGAAAGTGCTCACAATCTGATTGCAACGGCCGATTACCTTTTTTTACCAGGCTTAAAATCGTTGGCGTGTGATTTCTTAAAAGGGATCTTGGCAACAGAGAACTGTGTTTTTAACTATTACTTTGCTGAAAGATATCAGTGCGTGAATCTGAAGGAGGAATGCCGAGAGCTCATAAAATCAAATTTCAGTGCAGTTATGGAAACAGATGATTTCCTAAACCTTGATGCAAAGCAAGTCTTGGAGTGGGTGTCTAGTGATGACATCACTGTCAGCGCGGAGGAAGAAGTTTTCAGGGGAATCGTGAAGTGGGTACATCGAAGCAAAAGTGAAAGAGAAAAAAAATTTTCAGATTTGTTGCAACACGTCCGTCTTAGTTCTTTGGACCACAATTTTCTGTTCAATAAACTTGTGAAGGAAGAACTTATAACATCTAACAAAGACTGTCTAAACTTTGTTTTTGGTTCATTGGAGTCCATTTTCAGCCCATCTCTTCAAAGAAGTATCAAATCTAGGGCATGTCTGCAAACACAGATAAGTGGAATTTTTGTTTGTGGTGGGAGAAAAGCCTTGTGTTACCTTCCCCATGAAAATATTTGGTATCAGTTACCAAACATGTTAATAGAACATCAAAATCATGCTGCTATGCAGTACATGGATAAAGTTTATGTATTTAGTACATGTAAACCGAGTGTTGCAGATTTTTACATGCCTTCAACCAACACTTGGGGTGCATTTCAAGTACAGTGTGCATGGCATGTCAAGAAATTTTGTAGCCTATATATGTCACACAAAAATATGACTAATTTGTATGCGGTTGTAGAGGAATACTTTTCTAGGAGTAAGATTTTACTATATGATCCTGTGAAAAGCGAGTGGAAAGTCACAGCTATTACACCTGATAAAGTCCATCGGTGTGGATCCTTTGGTGTGGCTGACAGTTATCACCTTTATTTAATAGGTGGATGTGAAAATTACTATTCTGGGTCAAGTACAGTTCTAAGGATTGATACACATGTAGAAGAAGGCAACTGTGAAGAGGTTGCACCCATGAATGAGGGAAGGTATGATGCTTTTGGAACAGCCATGAATGGTAAAATCTATGTAGCGGGTGGAAAGCAGAATTCTTTAGTGCTAAACACTTGTGAGATGTATGATCCAGCAACGAATGAGTGGCATATGATGCCAAGTCTTAATGTACCACGTCACTCTTCAAGCATGGTCTTCTTTCAAGGATCTTTGTTTGTCATTGGTGGAGTTAACAGTCATTCAAGGGAGTTGTCAGTGGAAATGTTTGACTCCAGTGCAAATAAATGGATGAGGAAATCAACCATACCCATAAAAAATGAAAATGGAGAGGAAAAAAAGAAAAACTGGCATTACAAAGCTTGTTCTGCAACAGTGCATAAAGATGTACTGGAGAATCAGGAGAAGATTTCATGACTTAATGGCATTCAATGAAGTTCTATAGATTGTCAATTTAAGAATAATTTAAAGCTGTTTTTTCTGTCTCCGGTTACCTCTGGTGGCTTAAAGAGAAAAACTAGCTAATGACCACTTGAAGAGATTTTACTCCATTACCAGTGCCCAACCAAAAATTACCAATACCTGTTATTGCACTTGGTGATTAATCCCTTGAATACGGACTGTAAGTCAGGCTGTAATCTTCCTACTTGTACAGTGAACCTTACTTTTATCTTTCTTAAACCAAACAGGCCCCAAAACATTGACCTCAACACATTAGCCACCAGGCCACAACCTGCCAAAATCATGGACAGAACTCTTAATGAAAATGCATACTTGGAGAGCATTTTCCTATCATCGTAGCCATAGCAATTCTTTCCTCGCCCTCCCCCTGGAATTGAAGCAGTGAATAAAAAAAAAAGCCTCAACTCCGGGCATAAAGGAAGCATTGGTGACCTGGGGGAGGGGGTTTCCTCTGGGTAAAGCTGGGTAAAGTTTTGTTGTATAAGGTAGTGCGCATTCACGAAAAAACATTCTCAAGTAGTTCTGCCTGGGATTGTAGCTTGGATGCCAATGCCTCTTATTTCCTTTGTTAGTCAAGCCACTTTTCTTTGAGCAACAATGAAAAAAAGAGAAGTCTACATGCAGGCTTGACCTCATTCCAAAGATCTCTCTTCCTCAGGAAGAACAGAGACCCTGTGAACCAGATTGCATTGGCTCATTTGGCTGCTAAAGGTGAAGCCTGAGTTGTTAAAGTCATAATTTACCTCAAACAACTTACGTTTACCACAGTAAAGTGAAAGAAGACTGTAAAAGCTTGGTAAAGTCCAACTGTGAAATAGTGACAAAATCCTTGTTCTGGGCTCTCACATGTGCACCAGGATTTGAGTACTTGCAATGATTGGCCTGTTAAAAATTCCCAAAGCTCCCTTTCCCTTACCTTTCAAACGCCTGCCACGCAGGCTATAATTGATTAACCAGCCAAGTTGGAGGGAAATTCAAGATGCATTTCCAGCAATTGTTGAGTCCATTGGGGGCCGAGAAAAAGGATATTGGCACTGCTTCACAGATGTCATTAACTAGGTTAGATTACATCCCTGTTTAGGCAAGGCAAAGTACTTGAGAGCTAAGGCTGCTACTTTCACCATTGAAAGATTAATTAGAATACCAATTCATAATACTGAACTCTTTGAAAATTATTTTAATAAAATAGTTCTAAGTGTTTAAAAACTGAAACTGGTGTTATCATGGTCATGTTATCATATTTGCCCGCATGATTTTACTCAAATGCAAAGCATTTTCAAGAAAAAGAAACTCAATAATATTATTTTGAGACAGATAATTAAGATATAATTAAAGACTCATGGCAGAATCATGATAGCCTGTGAGCAAGAACTCCATTTCAAGTGAGCTGCAAGAGAAGTTGCCAGCATCTTCTTTCGCATGCCACTCTCACGTGACTTCTCATGACTTTCCCAAAGGGAGAGCTTGTTTGCAGGCCGGGATCCCAGAGCTGGCAGGTCACTCAGCTATATTTTCCCAGGGATGTCATTAAGATTTTAAGTTGCTGGGTATATGTTATTAGTAGGCAGGGAGTTGAGCAACTGGGGTTTTCTGTTGTCTATTAAAGTAGCTGGAAGTCATGCTCATAGTAGCCAGGGAAAATCTCCAGCCCTGGTCCCTCATGACAGCCATGTTTTCCCTTTTCACATTCAAACAGACAGTTTGTCTAGGTGAAAATATAATGTTTATTTGACATAAATATAAAAATATTTAGTAGATAACATTAACTTAGGTTTCTAATCAGCAGCCAATTAAAATACCAAGAAATTTGCACTGAAAATGGCATGCATGAATGTGTACAAGTGATACGAAATGTATATTGCTTCAATTTCTTATAAAATTATACCATTAGAATGCTATGTATCTTCAACCAAAAACTATAACAATAATAAATAATTTGCACAAGCAAAAATGTTACTCTTTCTGGGAATGTCTATCAAACATTCCTGCATAAATCTTTTTCTCCTTTTCTTTAATCTTCTTCAATTCTACCTCAAGGAGAGCCAGCATTTTCTTTATACTTGAATCTAGCAAGGAAACCGAAACAATACTTTTAATAATAATAAAAAGATAATGAATAATTGAAATCCCAACATGGTCCTTCAAAAAGGGTGCAAAAGTAATTGAGAAATTTTAAAGCCCATTCACCAGGAGGTCTCATTATATGGCAGAGAAGGTCTTTCAGACGGTAAATTATACAATTTCTCACAATATGTTTCGTATGAAGCACCAATGGTCCTTAGATTCACAATAATGTCAAACATTTCAGAGTTTCTGCATTAGCATTGAAGTTTGTCATTTTGTCAAGAGTGATCATTTTTTATCATTAGTGAATAAATGAATCAACAACTGAACAGACACGTAGAAAAAACAACTGGGCAAGGATGAACAAAAACTTTTGTTCTTTTGCAATAACATGTACAGTAAACAAGCTCGACTAGCTTCAGAGGTAAGTACCTTAAAATTTATGAAATATTCTTTTGTGATCTAAATTATCGGTATCATTTTGGGGGGGGGGGCAAATCGGAGACACCTCTCCTGCAAAATGTCCCTATTGCAGGTTTTTTTTTTTTTTTCAATTCTCGTCCCAGCCATTTTATCAGGCGGTGCTTATAGATATGAAAAATTTTATTCCCTGTTGTTAAAACAGAAACCCAATAACAACAATATTGTATTTATATGTTCTTATGCAGCAAATGCCTTACTTAAAGGAGCTAAAACAATGGCCAAAAATGCACCCTGGGGCCTTAAAAATTCTAAAATTCTACCCCGACTTGGCACTGCATGCAAAGTTAGTCCCTGCTATTGATACATTTGTCCCAGCTACTTCAAATCTTAACAAAAACCCCGCTAGTGGTGATTAGCAAAGAGAGACAGCTGTATTATTCCCAGGCTATTCTAGTCAATGATAACAAACCTTTGGGCTCCAACTTTTCGGCAGCTCTTAAGTCTCTTTCAGCTTTTTCAAAGTCCTTCATGTAGAAGTATGACTGCCCTCTTCTGAATAAAGCTTTGGCATTTTGTGGTTGAAGTTTTAAGGCCTATAAATTGAGGAAAGTAATGAGCTGAGATACCACAACAGACAAAGTAAACACCCATGCAGACATTCAAGGATTTTATTTTCAGCTTCCTGAATGTTCCAGATTTTGTGGATAAAATAAAAAATAAAATGAATTAAGGTTTGGAAAATGCACTAAGCTTAACCAGCTAGTTTACAGGCACTCCAATCAAATAATTCTGCAAACAAATAATGCAAATAGAACATAACAGGATTAAAAACCCCAACTGGCGGGTGGCAACCAGTTAGTTGGCTATTTACAAGCGTCGACAAGGATTTGAACTGGGGAGAATGAATCCAAACATGAGGTCATAAGCATCCTCACTGTTTGGGTTGGTCTGGGATCCATTGAGGAAATCTGTTCACTTTAACTGTATTGCTTTACAGAGGCTGAAACAGGTAGACCAGGTGAGCATGACAATTTTCTGTAATTATGCCTTAAGTCACTTCTTATCACTAGCAATTTGGAGTATTGCAGAAAATTAAAAAGTGACAGTAACACCTCTGCTTAATAAAAAAAAATCAACAGCCAAAAATGGAACCTAATCCTACTCTGAAACATTTTGGTATTCTTCAGCCCTTACATTTTAGTTAGTACCTCAGATCAAAAATCCAAAGGGTCAAAATAAAAAACCTGAAAACCCTTTGCAAAAACCTGGCATCTTTTGATGAAGGGGAGGCGGGGGAGAAGTAATGGGATGGGAGACTATAAATGGGGGGAAGGTTCTAGCAGATAAAAAAATTCAATCCTGACAACAATGGGCTATTGCATTTCAAATCCATACCCCCCCCCCACCCAACCAAGTTGATAACTTACCTCTAAAGAATTAACTTACCCCTAAAGAATTCCACTGGTCCTCAACCGGGGGGGGGGGAAGTCGGATATTAGCTTGTGGTTTGAAATGATGAATGTATAAATTTCATATGTATGTTTTAGTTTAGATCACTGTTACAAAAGTTTCTGAGGAAATTACCATGAATTTTAAATATTCCTTCTATTAAAATCTTACCTCGGTGCAATAATGCTCCGTTCTATCCCACCGACCATCTTTCAATAAGCAAGCTGGAAACATTTTAAAAATATTACTATGCATTAAAACAGCTGTGAAACAGAAGAATGGTTTTGGCGAATCACAAAATTTACATCAATTACCCATGAAAAAAAAGTGTCGTCTATGCAAACTATAAAATACTTATCTTACCTGCTAAATTGTTGTAACAACTGAACTGTACTTTGTGAATGTTATTTTTCGCTTCGTCAGAAATGTCTTCCTCCGACGCTTCTAAACCTGGCAGATTTGGTCGATCAATGATACCTTTCACGTACAGCAACGCTTTGTGGTAACTTTTCATTGCATTTCTGTATTCCTGTTTCTTAAAATACTCGTTTCCTTTCTCTTTCAATGCCATTCCTGTCTCCAATCTTTCCTCGATGCTCAACTTGGATGTTCCCGCTCCGGCTTTGTCTTCCACGGACGCCATCTTGTTTTGCTGAGTGACCGAGCTAAAAGGGCGCGGGAAAGGCGCGGAGACGCACAAGCAAAAGCTGGCAGTGGGGTCTGTTCATACATGTCAAACTCTTGTAAATTTAGAATAAACTTCATCATGTCACAGAGTATCGAACCTGGCGTGAAAAGACGAACAGTGCTTGAGTTCTTTGACGTCCTAAATAAATTTATATGTACCAAAGTTGTAAAAAGAGGTCCTACGTTAAAAATTTATTGTCCTTATTATATCCGAGAAGACTAAGAAGTCTAACCATTTAATGCATTTGCAGATGCCTTTACAAAGGTGGCACTTTCTCCTCAGTTATTTAAAGACCCTGAGTGCCAGACTACGTAGTAGAGCGTGCGAAACGCGAGCGCGCGTGAAAATCACCCCCGCGAGAAAAAGAGACATGCGGCGTGTCGCCTTTTCTCGCGTGGGGTGATTTTCACGCGCGCTCGCGTTTCGCTCGCTCCACTATCCCTGAGGAAAAATGGGGGACTACTAATAGTCTAGTTTGAACCCGGCAACGGCCTCTGCTCGGCAGACCGGCTCTCATGAGCTCACTGGGAGCCTATTTTTTTATTGTTAGAAAACTGCAGGCTCTTGTCGGTTTCTTCTCAAAAAGCAGGGAACGAATATCCAGTTTCAGTTTCAGTTCATTTATTTTCTCCTAAAATTTTGGGCACTCTAGAAAAATTATTCTAACCAGTTCAGAAAATATCTATACTCCATTAACTTCCGGTAATTTTTATGTATATCTAGCTCTGCATATTCTTATGCATTGAGCACTCCTAGGATAAGTGATTCTATATACGTAGATTTTTTTGTTCATCTTAAACATCAACAAACATTAATCATGGTGTCTTCAATTTTCCTTAAATCAAAAGTTAAGTTGCCAGGTGAAAAACAACGAAATCAAATTTGATCAATGTCAATAATGCGCCAGCCTTCTTTCAGCGAGATTGAAATTTCAATAACTACTAACTTGAAGAGCACACAATTTTAGTTATTGGCTCTTTAAGAAAACCTCTCATGTGAATTTTTTCTTTGATGTTTGCTCGTCGCCAAATTACGATAAATGGACTGTTTTAAGGTAGCAGGAACGCGAGGAAAAAAAACACACACACACACGCACATTGGAATCAAAGACCGCGCCCTCTCTCATAAAAATAAAAATAAAAATAGATAAATAGGTAAATAAACTCTTGACTAATACTCTTTCACTAAGTATATAGATCAGTAGTTCGTGCCTTTCATAAGAACAGAAAAATTGATTACAACCTAAAAACTAAGCGCACCTTTTTCAATTCAGCTTCTGCTTATGTTGTCGAAAATTGACAAAAACTTGAGAGAATCTCTTGATATGTTTCCCTTTGATTTGTTTAGATTGAACAATGACGAACGGAGCTTTCTTAGTTTTAACGTTTGCTCAGTTTTGACCCAAAAATATGGAATTCACACTGACGTTGTTTCAGGCTATCAAACTTTATGGAAATCATAACAACTGCAGCAAATTTCCAGCGAAATTCCATATTGATGCATATGCACACAGAGTCCTATTTTCTGAATACAAAATTTGGATGGCAACCAAGTAAAGATCAAACGAGTCGGAGACGTTAGGCCCTAATTTGGATCGTAGATTTGAGAAATTACAGCATTTTACAGATCAGTCTTATCAATCAAAACAGAACCGCTGTGACAGCTTATGTGTACGAGTTTGAGTCATTAGTCTTAGTTATATTTCAGGCTCCTCTGTTCATTAGCATCGGCAGCCTTGGCTTGTAAGATTTTTGGCTTTCTAAAGTCATGATCATTTAGCTAATGTACAGTAAACGATTTTTAAAAAACACGGCAACAGCTGTGGATTTTAATTACTTTCTAAACTTAACTCTTTGGCTTAATTGAAAATATTAAAGCCTTGGCATATTAAGTAAATCATTAATGGGAGTATTTCCATTAAGTTTTCAGCGAAGTCGAGATATCGATCTGGCCTCATCGCAGCTAAGAAACTTGACAGCAAACCTCAGATAATATCTTAAAGTTTTCTTTATTTAAAAAGAAGAGTCGTAACTTTTTTACGAGTTTATTATCTTTGATAACATGTTTATTGCTTGTACTACAATCATCTTATTTTATGTACGACCTTTTTAAGGCATATATGTTACATTTATCTAGCTCTCTGTTTCACAGTTTGTAGAAGTCCTGGACCAACGCTGGATTCACCGTCCCTGAGGTTGTCTCTATTCTGTTAGCATGGGCTCATCTTCTTTGACGCAGTTTAGGGAACGCGCAGCCTGACAAATTCGCCTTCGGTAATGAATTGTCTGAAAAGGTAATAAAAGGAAGAAAGTAAAATAATAATGATCATAGTTATAATAAAAGTTACTTATCAGGTTGTGGACATTTGTCTGTACAACTACTAACATACGTTTTTGTTAATTGGTAAGGGAGCTTCAAGTCCTCTACTGATTCATGACTCCTCTGAGATAAAGTCAAATCGCCCTAATAAGATGGATACCTTTGGGGCCGGTACTAAGTGTGCTTCTAAGAGCGATGTCCGACTTATAGGGAGTCAAATAAAGGGAATGCTGAGAAGGGCAGGAACTAATTCTAAGTGTCGTTTTACCGAGGTGTTGGCCTTAAAGAGTCTCCGCGTTAAGAGCCAGTCAACTGTATTCTTTTAGAAGGTGTCTCAGATAATAGACAGTTTAATTTCCTGCCAGTGAATTGCAAAATCGAATGTTTCAATTTAATAATTGCAAAGTTTAATTGCAAGTAAGAAGTTTTGACCTAAGAACAACAGGTAAAATGCGCATGTCCTCCAGTTGAGAGGTAATTTAAAACTTAAACTTTTATTATATGTCAGCTTCAATCTGTCAGAATAAGATCTGCTTCAATTAGAATGGGTCTGCCCTTATTAAACGAGAGTTGAGAAATTAAACATTTTTAAACAGAGCTCGTAGTGTTACCTGTGCGCTCAGTGTCTTAAGGTGTGGTCTTGGAGGAGAAGTGTGCTGTGAGAGCGAATATAAAATCCTTCATACTTGCAGTACATGAGTTTTTCGAAGTGTAGCTATCAGAAATCATTGATATTTACCTCAGACCTTTCTTTAAGCAATTCCCTTTAAATCGACGTGTAAGCGCGGCCGCGTCTACTTTCTTATAACTTGCCAACAGTAAAGAATCAGGCGAAGGAAAACCGCAGATGAGAAACACTTTTGTATCATTGCGAAGAACAGCTGGGATTTAAGTGTGCCGTGTACAAGTGCAATATACTGGCTGTAGTTTATCGACAGTATTCGGTTTTATACGATCTAACTCATATCGTTTTATCATCAGATAATAAAGTTGTTTTTTGCCGCACAAAGAAAACACTATAAAGTTGATATGGGGTTTACTGATTGGTAGAATTATTATCAAACTGCAAGTGACTGGCCGCATAGCTTTTGCCGTTTCTAATTCCCGTTATTAAACGAGAATTAAGAGGGATAAAAAGAGCCCACAGTTCATGCTCGCAGCACATGAGCCTTAAGTTTTAAAGTTTAGTTATCATTAGAAATCAATGATATTTTACCTCAGATCTTTCTTTCAAGACCTTTGCGTTAAAACGACGCCCCAGCGAGGCCGCGTCTACGTTCTCGTAACTTGCTGACAGCAAAAGAGAGAGAAGCACGCACAGGAAAATTGCGGAGGAGAAATACTTCATTGCGCGAAGAACAGCTGGGACTTCAGTGTGCCATGTACTAGTGCAATATACTGGCTACAGTTTGTTGACAGCATTCGGTTTTATGTGGTCTAATTCATGTCGTTTTATCATCAGATAATTAAGTGGTTTTTTGCTATGCAAATTGTTAATCAATAAAAATGCAAGCAATGGAGATTTTAGCTCTGATCTAGTGCTTAAAGTTAATTAAGGGGATGTTCTCCAGTGGTTACTGTATGATAAGTAATATAACCAAGGGATATTTTATCGGGAGCTAATGTCGGGTATCATGCATGAAGATTCATTTATTAGTTGTTTAGAATTACATTACAAGTTCGACGTTTAAAATAATCACCAACATAAACCTTCTTCTGTCATGAATTCGTTTTTAAAGAAATATCTTCTATCTTCTTCCACGACTTCCACGACAATCCTTTTATCGCAAAATAAAGTTCAATTAGGGTTTCCAACAAAGTCGTTTGTTTACATTCAAAAAGGATATCGCATGGTTTGATATTTCAACGTTAACTTGACCCCTTGTCTAGATTTCCAGGAAATAACCTCTATCCTTATTTTGGTTGTTTCTTAGCTCATTTCCCGTGTTTTCGAGCGAATTCACACAGTTGATGATTTTTACCTTTAATTTAAAATATTTTAATGATAATGATATAGAATATCTCCCAATTCAACGGTGTTCAGGTTAAAGTAAACGACTATTGATGGTTTTCACGGTGACGTCATCAGATTGCAAAGTCAAAAAAGCGAGGTTTTACGAATTCTTATTTACACTAGGTTTAAAGATTAATAGGAAATAAATCTTTGTACAAGTTTCCAGCAGCGAAGCATGTTTCATTTCGAAAATACAGCAGTTTTTTAGTTTTGTGACACCTCTGAAGTTTTTCGCTTGATTTTCAGAAGTTTAACCGTCCGTATTAGAAGATATGTTTTATTTTATAGAAAAAATTTTAGAAAAAGTGCCAATGTTTTTTTCGATTTCCGGCGGCCATATTGGTGGACAGTTTCTTAACACCCTTTAAAATCGAGGTGCGTGAAATGTTTTTCAAACTGGCCACAAAGACCTGAAATATATTAGTCTTTTATATTTTCATTTTCTTGTTCCACTGGACGGTTTCAAAACCTGACAGTTAAACGAAAGTGCCTTGCACTGTGACAATTTGTCCTCTGAGTTTTTCGCTCACGTTAGTTATTTTTTATAGAAAAATTTTACAACTGGACAAGGATTTCAAACTGTAAATTTAGTACTGTTACTCTATCTCGTTTTACAAATTGTTACTTTGTAATTTTTACACTGGTCACCTCGTTTTAAATTGACTGAAAAACACAAGCTTTATAATGAAAATTCGGGTTAAAAGATCACTTTGACAAGACAACTCGAAGGTTCAATGCAAATGAGTCGCCTTTAACCAACACAGAAGACTTGCGTAAGCATTAATTTGAGTTAGGAAGATGGGTTTTGCTATAGATAAAAAATGGAAAATTTGCAGTATAAAATCAAGGAGTGACATGCAACGATACTCAGCTGAGAGAGTGCGTTCCTGATACTGCAGTGTGAAGTTGTATGACCCTAGTTGAAGAATAAAGCTAGTTTAAACAAATAATTCACGTCTCATTTGTTAAAGAAGAACCAGCTAGTTCCCCATAAAACGTTTTTTCAACAAAATTAGAGGGGTTTAATTGGCAGAATTATTATCAAACTGTAATTACATGCAAATGACTGGCCACACGTTTTTGTTTCTAATTCAGTCACGTTGGTCGCGTTTTTTGGAAGCCAATATGCCTTCTTAGTAATGATTTTAATTGATGCAAAAAGCGACAAAAAAAGGCAATTTTTTGCGTTCAAGGTTCTTACTTAACAAGTAGACATTTACCTTGGGTCGAGAAATGCTAATCAAAGCAGAGACAAAGATGCCTTTTTCGGAAGACGTTCGAGAAGATAATAGCAGCAGCCATTGAGAGACGAAGCATTTTAAGCTAGTGTTAGATGTAAATAAAGTTTTTATCATTATCATTATTATTATTATTATTATTGTTAAAAGTACAGTTTTTCTGAGAGAAAAAAAACGTAGAACATGTAGGAAATCTCATGTGGGGCAAGGCAAACGCCACTCTAACCATAGCCTGCGTAGCAGGCGCTGGGAAGTAGCGGGCGAAAGAGAGAACGGCGCGCGCGAGGGAGACACGCAAGGGGTGAGGGAGCGCCTGCACGGAAGGCCCCCGAAAATCGTTTCAACTCGCACTCTGTGAGTGCGGATATTTTCAATTGGTCGAGAGGCTCCCGAGGGAAAAATTAACCGCGCGGGGCGAGAAAACTGTCAATCAATAGTACATGGACAACGTAGTGAAGATCTTGCATTACACCACTGGGTCCTGAAACCACTAAATTGTATACAATCGAAGTTCAGGTCTGGGAGGTCACTTCAATCTGGTTTAATGGGACTATGTGGCTGTAATGTCAAAGAAAAGTTGGAGTGTTCAAACGGTATTCACGATGGAAAGAATTGACATCGGATACGCATCAACAGATGTGGCGAGAGACAAAAGATTTGTCGAATCGTTGCAATGAAGGTCAGAGGAAATATTCTTTGCTCAGGAGAACTTGGCGGCTTGTGCTGTCGATGGAATGTATACCATCAAAACTTGGACACGATTGATGAAATGAAACACTTACCAGGGGCATGAACTTGAAAAAAGCATTTCACTATAGTATTATTCGTCGTTCGAAGGCGACCTGAGGTCTGTTGTTTATGTCTCGTTACTGCAGTAGAAAACATGTCGGTACAGTTTGTGTTCTGAGGTTTAGGTCCGCTTAGTAAGACATGTCTGCTCCAAAAACGGTTGCCAGTTAGCGCAGTAAAAGCAATATGGTCATTTTCCACGTACACTGTGATCGTTGGTGTCTGACCAGAACAATATTTTTAGTTTTTATAATACACAGCATGCATTCTCTAAAAGATACCCAGTTTTTACTTTGTTATTTCCTATTTATTGTGCCCATGTTAAAAAACGATTTAAAGCTGTGTGTTAACCATCAGTTTACTGCTCCATCGCTCTATAATCAGATAACCCAGCTGATCTTTATAACAGATATATTTAGACCGAAGATAAAATGTACAACGCTTTTTGGCGGCTTGCTTTGTTTGTGCGAGGTCAGTCGTTTTCTGTCAAAACTTTTGACAGATCACGCAACGGCTGCCAAGTAATTAGAGGGGGGGGGCGGGAAACGATTTTCGGGGGCCTTCCGTGCAGGCGCTTCCTCTCCCCTCGCGTGTCTCCTTCTCGCGCGCCCGTTTTTTCTTGTGCCCACTTAGCCTGTGAACAGGCTCTCGGTTCTTTTTTGGGAAAAATATAGCAAAGGCCTGTTCACAGGCTAGTGCCCACTACTTCCAAGCGCCTGCTACGCAGGCTACTCTAACCAACTGTCATCACAACGTGGTAGGGAGGGGAGATGGACAAAGAGTAATTAAAGTTTCCATCATTGGAAATGCGACTACTCTTGTTAAAAGCAATAAAATTGGGCTATAAAACGTGAAGCTACTTAAAACCTTACTTCGCAAGGTGTTATAAATTATTAATACTATTAATAAGTATTTCAGTTGCCATTGCGAATTTTCTACACATGACAATAAAAGTATAGGTTATCTACTTTCAATTAAACGTCCATCAAATTTGCTAGGCGTAAACGTACTGGCAATAAACTTTTTTGAAATTTGTGGTCATTTATACGGCATCCTGCTAAAATAGAGTTGTGCAGAGTAGTCTCCAAGGTTTGACGATAATTACAGTAATATCCCTTAGATTGACAGGATTTGAGAATAATGAGTTCTTATTGCTAAATTACGGTAAAAGACTCTCTTAATAATTTAAACGAAAGTTAAAAGAAGTACACGAACACGTGATGGATTTCTTTATTTTAATGCGCAAAGCCTTTTATTTTCTCATAATTAAGGGAATTGGATTGCAGGGCAGTGTCGCGCAGAATTTTAAATACCGTCAAACGGGGAGCTGGCAACGAAATTGAACGAAAAGTAAAAACAAACACTTCAAACATTGAAGAAAGGATAACACTAACAAGACAGTAAACACACAACAAAAGGCTTAAGGGTTGATAAATTTGAAAAAGATTACTGCCGATTAAAGTTGGCCGGGTTTTTATTAGCTGCATAGCTGTGGGGAATGTAATGAAATGTGAACTAGACGAAATAGATAAAAGTATTCAGTTTTAATTTCACAGTTATATCACTTCAAACTGTTGAATATTTTACTACCAAGATCCCACATACTTTCATGTTTATGGTCAGGGTTGAATGCTGGCACTAAGCATGAATCTTGGCATGGCTCTCTTTTCGCAACTAGCAATGATCGTGTTCGCTTTTATGCTTATCATTGTTGTTTAGCAATTTAGGACGTAAAAATTATACTGTTGTAAATTTTTGTTAATTTTTGTTTTTCTTTTGTTTTTGGGTATGGTAATCTACGCTAATGAAGTTGAAACAAAGGAAAAATAAAAATTATCTTAGATAAAAAATCAACTACAGGATAGACGTAAAAATTCTTACAGATCTGTGATTTTGTTATTTAATTTTAGAAGTAGTTTTTTTTTCACCAAGTGACGTGATGTTCCGGAGCTACACAGCTGCTCCATGTAAGATATTTAACAGCAATTCCAGAAGTAAACGGTTTTGCTTTATTTTCTGTCTGGCTTGTTTTACACTCTTTTTTTAATTATACTTTAACTTCGGTCTTGTTAAGTAGAACAACTCAATCTACAACTTTACATCAATGGTTCTTGATGACCAGTCGGCTTTGGAATTCGTGAACAACCTCGATCAAAACGACTTGAAAGGGCGCATGCCCGGCTCACTCTCTGAGTCATCTTTGCAGTTAAGAGAACGTGCAGCCTGACAAATGCTTCTTCGGTAGTGGTTATCGAGAGCCTGAAAAAGTAAAATAACAAAAGAAAATGAGAGAAGAGATTACGCCTTGTAAACTGATATTGATGAATAGGTTAGGTTTCGATAGTTAAGTATCCTTATAATGGTACTTAATTTCGCGTTTTTTTCGATTGTAAAAAATGTTGCAAAATTAATTAAAAGACCCGCGAATAAAAATCCTAGCGAACTTTAAACACCCATATAAAAAATTCATATCACATATAAAAAATGATTATCATGTAACAACAACAACATATACAGGATTTGTATCAACAAACTAATGCAAAAATTATTGACTTGTTTACTGTTAAGTTCTATTTTGTTTTTTTTTGTTCTGAAATTTGCAAAGATTTCACATATGGAGTAGAGCTGGAATCTTAAAAAGAGTTTTAAAACGTTCAGACCTTTTTAAAAATAAAATTAAGTTGAGAACGCTTGATTCCCGAAATTTATTAGTCCCTTCTGTACTGCTAAGTACTGCCGGGTCTACGTCTCGCCATAAACTCGCCAACATCGCTAAATTAAGTACCCGCGAAATTAAGTGCCATTAGGTCATCTAAGGAGTGAAGTTAGATGATCCGTTCTTATCTAGCGAGATTTCAACGTTATGCTTTTCAGGAGTAATCTTGACCCTTACCTGTGTTTTTCTGACTTTCCCGTTTACTCCACCCCCACTCATTGGTATCAACGCCTCTACATCCTTCAAACTTATAAACAGCACTAGCGAAAAAAGTAGACAATGGGCTAACATTGGGCACAAGATCTTCATAGTGAATATACAGTAGCTTGGTGTTTAAGTATTTTGTGTTCGGCGTTTGGTGCAATATACTGGCTACAGTTTGCCGAAAACAGTAGGTTTTATAGGGTCTGTTCATGGCTTTAATTTAATCAGAGAATTAGCATATTTTGGCATACTCGAATTGCACACAAATTGGCACACGAATTTGGTCTAATTAGTAGAATGTTTATCAAGATGTGAGTAACTACCACTTCATTTCTTTTCTTACACTTCTGTTGTCTTCTTTAAAACCAATTTCCCGATACTTTTAACGGATTTAAAAAGCACTAAAAAGGAAGGCAATTTCTGACCTTGGCGAAGGTAATTATCAAACTGAAAATGATAATAATAATAATAATAATAATAATAATAATAATAATAATAATAAATAATAAAATAAAAAAACTCCATGTATGTCATTATGATTTTAGAAGTGCACAATTTGTAAACGATATACAGCTTAAGAAACCCTTAAGTGAAACCTGAGTGTAAGACTCTACATAAACTACCTGAAATACGCCCAGTCACTGGGAGATATCAAATCTTAGTACATAGCCTGACTGCCTATTTGCATGTTAAATGCTCTGATAATAATAAAAAATAATCAATGAGCATAGGTCTGTATTGCAGACAGACATTTATCAACAGCTGGATCGACATAAACTTTTGATAGCAATTGGATTGTGTAGAGTCCGTCTGGTTTTAGTGCAAAAAGTCGACATGCAGCAGTGCTTATCATCGTCATCATCTTATTATCATTATTATTATTATTATTATTATTATTATTATTTGATATGGCAGATTATTTAAAAAAAGGCAGCTTGAAACCTGATTTGAAAATAGCAAAACACACAAAAGACACATAGACGCAATATTTTAATAAAGGTTGACCATACCATTGAGAGTTACGTCCTTTACCGGATTTACAAAAAACATTGCGGGTTCTCTTACGTCCCACATGAATCAGAACAGTCAGAGGGCTGTGAGAAGGGGCCTATAGTTTTTCGTCCTCACTCTGAGGGGACTAGTATAGAATGTCCAACCATTTGCAAAAGTCAGAACAGAGACAACACTTTTCCTCATTTATTTTAAGACCCGGAGTGTTGGTCCGGCCAGAGTTTGAAACCGCGACTTCCGCTCTACGGACCGACGCTTACTTCCGGTGATTAATATTGAGCTATTAACCGGGCGGTGGTTAGGGATAGTGCAGTGAAACCTTAAACTAACAGTTACGTGTTTAAGGCGGACTCCCACAGTATCCATCCCCTGGGGTCCTTCCCCCTTGATAGGGGTGAACGATGAATATAGGTATGTTTTCATAAAAATTTGGGGAGGAAAGTTCAAAGACTTACTGATGCTTTTGTTCGCTATATATGGGGTTTGTATACCACTGACAAGTTTTACTTCAACAGTATAGCTTTGCTTTTTTGTCGAATCATACCAGCCTAAATATATCCTATCTGTCTTTCCTTTTACAAATTTAAAGTGTCAGGAGCCCATTGATGGGCTCCTGAAAGTGTCGATTATTGTACAGGAAAGCGACGTAGATATGTTTTCTTACAGATACATTATACATGTAAGAAATTATTCCACCGACTTTTAAAGATGCGCTCAAGTTTACAATATTTTTTCTATAGGTGTCAGAAACGCAGAAAATAGATTGGTCAAGAACTGTCAATCAAACCTAAAAAAGGAGCTTTTCGTTCAAAAGCAGCTTTTTCGAAATGATTATTGCATAGCCATTCATGCTCATAGGAAGACCATTAGCTAAATTAAATGCATTAAACGACAGAAATTTCCTTTTAGTCTTTTAGATCAATTTGCCACTATTAAATGATTGTGGAGCCCCATAGCTTTTAATTGAGTTTATAGGCTTCGGAGGATATTATTCTTATTATTATTATTATTAATTAATTAATATTAGTTTTCCTATAGTTAATATTTCCTTAGTACACCAGTTTCGCCGATCACGAAATTGACAGGCCAATGTGTTACCTCGTGTGACAGAAGGGATGTGATCAAGAGGAAACGAGGCAGAGTGTAAAGAAGAGCGGAGGGGAAGGGAGGCGAAGCGCCGGGGGGGGGGGAAGTGTCCAAATTATTCATTGGAAAAAGCAGGGGATAGATGAGGTCTACGACGCAGGTTAAACACATCTCAGTTCTTTTTTTCTCAATGGAACAGGTCAATTATTATTAAGAATGAGCACTGCGCACGGGTCACTTGGGCTAGTAGCTTACCAATCTCTCTCTAACATTTCATATACTATTTTAAGTTAGATGAGAATTTCTTTGGGGCGAAAATTTCATAATACAATTTTTTTCCAACGCACTATTGTTTTAAGAGCAAAGAGCCTTAATTTTGGGCTTAGAGCAATATGCAAGCCACTAGTAAAAATATATAAAAAAATAAAACAAAGGGCTAAAATTGCCCTTTGCGCACACTATTTCACTGATTATTTGATTTTAATGTATTAGGCACCTGTCTATCTCGGCATACCCAGTGAAACCCTACCCCGTGGATTAATTCCTTCTACTCAGTGATAATTTAGCCTAGACGGTAACTGGGGAATAATTTGTATCTACCCGAATTACTTTTATTTCACTGGCCAGTTTCATATAAAACCGGCCAGTGTATTTTGTTATTCATCTTAAATGAGGTAAAAATATAAAACATCTTAGAAATCGGAGGGTGCACGTAATCGATCTCGCATAAAAAAAGTGTAAATCTTGTAGTTCTTCTCACTAAGGCAATGTGTAAAACGTTTTCAAAGGTTTCATACCGGTAAAGATGTAAAGGCCTGCCTGCCCTTTTTAGCTTTTATGGGGATACACTGAGATACCAACGAGAGCCAGCCAATAAGCCAACCAGGTGGCGTTTACTCCGAGAACCCGGTGAACTACCCTCTCGTAACTTGCTGACAGCAAAAGAGAGAGAAGCACACACAGGAAAATTGCGGAGGAGAAATACTTCATTGCGCGAAGAACAGCTGGGACTTCAGTGTGCCGTGTACTAGTGCAATATACTGGCTACAGTTTGTTGACAGCATTCGGTTTTATGTGGTCTAATTCATGTCGTTTTATCATCAGATAATTAAGTGGTTTTTTGCTATGCAAATTGTTAAACAATAAAAATGCAAGCAATGGAGATTTTAGCTCTGATCTAGTGCTTAAAGTTAATTAAGGGGATGTTCTCCAGTGGTTACTGTATGATAAGTAATATAACCAAGGGATATTTTATCGGGAGCTAATGTCAGGTATCATGCATGAAGATTCATTTATTAGTTGTTTAGAATTACATTACAAGTTCGACGTTTAAAATAATCACCAACATAAACCTTCTTCTGTCATGAATTCGTTTTTAAAGAAATATCTTCTATCTTCTTCCACGACTTCCACGACAATCCTTTTATCGCAAAATATAGTTCAATTAGGGATTCCAACAAAGTCGTTTGTTTACATTCAAAAAGGATATCGCATGGTTTGATATTTCAACGTTAACTTGACCCCTTGTCTAAATTTCCAGGAAATAACCTCTATCCTTATTTTGGTTGTTTCTTAGCTCATTTCCCGTGTTTTCGAGCGAATTCACACAGTTGATGTTTTTACCTTTAATTTAAAATATTTTAATGATATAATGATATAGAATATCTCCCAATTCACCGGTGTTCAGGTTAAAGTAAACGACTATTGTTCTAAATTTTGCCTTGCACTGTGAACTGCATTTTAAATTTGTCCTCTGAGTTTTTCGATCACGTCCGTAGTTATTTTATAGAAAAATTTTAGCCAATCATTTTCGATAAAGAAGCTTAACACCCTTTGTAAATCGACAACAACCTAGGATTTCAAACTGTAAATTTAGTATTTTCGTTTCTGTTACTCTAACAGAACCTCTTATACAAGTCAGCTGACAAGTAGTTACTTTGTAATTTTTACACTGGTCACCTCGTTTTAAATTGACTGAAAAACGCAAGCTTTATAGTGAAAATTCGGGTTAAAAGATCACTTTGACAAGACAACTCGAAGGTTCAATGCAAATGAGTCGCCTTTAACCAACACAGAAGACTTGCGTAAGCATTAATTTGAGTTAGGAAGATGGGTTTTGCTATAGATAAAAAATGGAAAATTTGCAGTATAAAATCAAGGAGTGACATGCAACGATATTCAGCTGAGAGAGTGCGTTCCTGATACTGCAATGTGAAGTTGTATGACCCTAGTTGAAGAATAAAGCTAGTTTAAACAAAGAATTCACGTCTCATTTGTTAAAGAAGAACCAGCTAGTTCCCCATAAAACGTTTTTTCAACAAAATTAGAGGGGTTTAATTGGCAGAATTATTATCAAACTGTAATTACATGCAAATGACTGGCCACACGTTTTTGTTTCTAATTCAATCAGGTTGGTCGCGTTTTTTGGAAGCCAATTTCCCTTCTTGGTAATGATTTTAATTGATGCAAAAAGCGACAAAAAAAGGCAATTTTTTGCGTTCAAGGTTCTTACTTAACAAGTAGACATTTACCTTGGGTCGAGAAATGCTAATCAAAGCAGAGACAAAGATGCCTTTTTCGGAAGTCTTTCGAGAAGATAATAGCAGCAGCCATTGAGAGACGAAGCATTTTAAGCTAGTGTTAGATGTAAAGTTTTTATCATTATCATTATTATTATTATTATTATTATTATTAAAAGTACAGTTTTTCTGAGAGAAAAAAAACGTAGAACATGTAGGAAATCTCATGTGGGGCAAGGCAAACGCCACTCTAACCAACTGTCATCACAACGTGGTAGGGAGGGGAGATGGACAAAGAGTAATTAAAGTTTCCATCATTGGAAATGCGACTACTCTTGTTAAAAGCAATAAAATTGGGCTATAAAACGTGAAGCTACTTAAAATCTTACTTCGCAAGGTGTTATAAATTATTAATACTATTATAAGTATCTCAGTTGCCATTGCGAATTTTCTACACATGACAATAAAAGTATAGGTTATCTACTTTCA